CCCCCCACCCCCCATGTGTTTTTCTCACAAAAGGTTTCCAGGAATTTCTCATTAATGTCTGATGCAAACTGGGTGACTAATAATGAATATAAACAGAATGTTCAGTTTACCAAGATTGTATTATTTATGATCATTTGTAATATTCAAATTTTATAGCCCTGGTGATGATTTCATTTCTTTCCACACTTTGCGGTGTCTTTGTATCTGGGAAAATGTTCTTAGATAGTCAAATGCGTGCCAACACCAGCCTGGGCCCGGGCCTGGGCAGTGGAATACAATCCTAAAATTTGTTCACATCTGCCAGTTGTCAGTTCGACATTAGAGCCCATGGGTGGCCTGGAAGCGGTAAAAAGCATGCTGGGGCGACAGTCAGCCTTCTACCTTCCCAGGATGCTCTCTTCTTAGGGAGAGCAGTTGAATCCTGTCCCCAGCTCCCTCCAGCTGGAAAAGTGTGTTGTCTGCTGTCACTGGTGATGCTCCAAGATGAGTCACTCCCACAACAGCAAAGATAGAGTCAGTTTGATCTGACCCGCTTAGCGTAGCTCTCTCTTTTATTTTTTAGCATGTGTTGGCATTTTTGTTTCATACACACTCAGTGAATTCTGCCTTCTCAGTGTGTTCATACATGTGCTAGCCATGTTAGCACAGCCAGCCTGTTGCTGCATGATGCCTTAGGAGACCAGGCCTTTAAATGGGCTTAGCTTGGCCTAGAGAGTTTCTGCTCTCTTAGATCTAAATTAAGGCCTCAGCTTTAACAGGACTAAAATATTCGCCATGCCTTGGCCTGTGCCTTTATTTTAAATGCTGGCTTTTCCCCCTTTCTCTCTGGGGCTCACTTTTTACCCTTCGAAAATGTAAAGGACAGCATTTAAAGGGGCATGTTCCTGATTGGTCCATCAGGCTCCCCTCATCACCCCACTTCAGTGACATCTACCTTGGTGACATTGTCAGGAACTATGACTCCAGCTGGAGGCACAGTTCTTCTGGGTTCTGGCTCCCCGGCTGGCTTTGGCTTTGAAAGTGTCTTCTCTCTGTATATTCCAACCCTGAGTTTGCTCTGCGGAGCCTGTGTGTCCTGGGATTCTTGGAAGACAATTCATCCAGTCACAGACTCCTCCAGCTGCAAGTGACAGTCGTGGTGAAATCTGAGTTAGTCACATGGATGTCAGCCGTGGCTCCCCCTTACATGGCCACGTGTTATATTTCCACGTGTGAGTCTTTGTTGCTGTCCATTTGGCTGACAATATTTATACTAAGTTGAAATTAGAGATCTCCCGTGGAGAACACCATTTAAACAAAGTTTTATCAACAAGAGTATTTAAGGTATTTTATGCAACGACAGAAACAGAACAAAGAAAGAAAATTGCTTTTAGAGGTGTCCTTGTTGCCGGTGGGGAGTGAAGGACAGCATTGCTAGTATGAAGAAAAACACACTTAGAACCCAGAGGACCACCTGCCCGTGTCGCATGCCTTGTCCCTGCTCAGTAGAGGAAAGCAGTGCTTTCCAGGCCCCGAGAGTCTCCCTGCTCCTTACTGTAACGATTTGTAGCTGAAACAGCACACCCGAGTCTGGCCCTGCGCGGGCACAGAAACATGCCAGAACGCCAGCGTGGAACCACAGCTGAATACAGCGTCTGCCACAGAGGAAGTCAGCGCACTTTCTCAGTGCTTAATCTCCAGGTACCCTACATTTATCCCTCATGTAAATTAACTCCCCAGACACTGGTTATTGTGTAGCCCTCCAAAACCACAATTCTATCATGGGCATCCCCACTCTCTCTTCCAGTTTGGTCACCCTAACCCTAGTCTTATGCTGTATCTAGAATAGTGAGTATAAATGTGTGGGAATACTGTTTCCACATGATCTGTTGTATGGAGTATATGCTACATGTTCATTTCCTGTACACAGGAAAGTGCAGTTGATTGATGCTCAAAAGTATCTCTGTATAGTGCCCCGCCTATTTAAAAATCACGTACTTGCCCAGAACACTGTGAAATGCTTCGCAAAACTACAAATGCAGCGTCTGGATTCTTTCTGAGAAGAGCAACTTTCTCCACATGAACACGGAAACAAAAGAGATCCTCCATCCACACCCAGCCTGGGCACCTCAGAGGTCAGGATGACAGCCTTCTTGCTGGCCAACACCTGCTGGAGCAGGGGGTACAGGTCCCGGCATCTGATCCTCAGTGGATGGGTCTGCAGCCAAAGCCTTAATGGGCTCTCTTTTGAAGGGAAAAGAAAGAATTTCAAGTTAACAATATCCAACGTTATTATAGCTAATGAGTTAGAAAATTCCAAAAAGATGATTTTATATGTATGACAAAAAAAAAAAATCTTTGTAAAGTGCGCAAGTGCAATAATTTAAAGAGGTCTTATCTTTGCATTTATAAATTATAAATATTGTACATGTGTGTAATTTTTCATGTATTCATTTGCAGTCTTTGTATTTAAAAAATCTTACTGTTATGTTTGTATAATAGAACAGTAATCATTTATTATAACTCGGACAAGGTGTAAATAAATTCATAATTCAAACAGCCAGTATATATGCATATATGGGTGTTACATTGCAAAAATCTCTATCTTTGTTCTACTCACATGCTTAAAGCAGTAAGGAATCTTTTGTGGATATGTAATTATACATATAAAGTATATATATATGTATGATACATGAAATATATTTAGAAATGTTCATAATTTTAATGGATATTCTTTGGTGTGAATAATTGAATACAAAGTTTTTAAAATATCATCTCTCAAGTTTGCTCTCGTTTGTGCGGAAGACGATAGATACCCAGAGAGTCTCTGTAGGTGGCAGCCAGATCCTTTTCCCACAGACACTTGTTTGTCTGGGAGACCACACAGTCTACACCAGCTACAGCTGGTAAACTGCTACGGAGAGGAACCAGAGGGCAGCTTCTCTGTATAAAGGTTAAATATATTCCTCACCCTCATCAGGGTCTGTGCTTGTTAGGTGTGTGTGTGTGTGTGTGTGTGTGTGTGTGTACATGTGTGTGTTGACACAAGCTAGAGTTTTAGGGGAAGAGGAGCTCCAACTGAAAAAAATGCCATAGTAATTGGCTTGCAGACAAGTCTATGGGACATTCTCTTAATTAATGATTGATGGGGAAGGGCCCAGGTCAGTATGGGTGGTGCCACCCCTGGGTTAGTGGTTCTGAGTGTATAATAAATGAGGCTGAGCAAGCCCTGGGAAGCAAGCCAGTAAGCAGTCCCCTGTGGCCTCTGCATTAGCTCCTGCCTCCAGGTTCTTGCCCAGCTGGAGTTCCGACTTCCTTCCAGGATGAAGTGTGACCTGAGTGTTGTAGGCCGAAATAAAGCCCCTCCTCCCCGAGTTACTTTTGGTGATAGCCTTTATGACAACAACAGAAACCCAAGACAGAAGCAGACTGTCATGTCCACTCTTCCCACCCACCCACCCTCACACACTCACACACACACATACACACACACACACACACACACACACACACACACACACACACACACCCTACCCCTCTGTCCAGCTAAATTAGAGAAGCAGGGTTGGGGTGGGGTGGGGGGAATAGGGGAAGTGAAGGGGGGAGGGGAAGGGGGACGTGGGGCAGTGAGGTGTGGGGTGCGGGAGGCAGTGGCTCCCTGGTAGAGCATTTGCTTCCAAGGACCTGTGTTCCAGCCTGGCACTGTAGAAAGGCTGTTAGTTCCCTTGCACATCAAATCCTGACAGCTGAAAAGTAGTGCACAGTCACCAGGCTGGAAGGGCTGGAAGGAGTCCAGGCTCTGAGTCAGAATTCACTATTCACTGCTGAGGTCACGTGTCATAGGTAAAGGCCATAGGTCACTGGAGCCTGCTAGCAGCAACTCTGCCCCCCCCCCCCCCCGCCTTTCCACAGCACGGGGCCGTTGCTGCTCAAGAGACTCTTCCCCGGATGGATCCAGGTGTCTGGTTCTTCCATCCCTTGGCCTTCAGAAGCCCCCAGGCCCGTGCAGAGGGGGAGTGATGGAATATATTTAAAAATTCGCCATGCATATGTCAGAACTGATATGCAAGATATTTATTGGATGGAGATAAGAGAGAGGAAAGGGGAGAGAGAGACATGGGGGGATGCCCTGACAGAGAGAGTGTAAAGAGCAAGAGAGGAGCAAGAGAGCGAGAGAAAGAGAGCGGGGGGGGGGTGTACAGGCCACTAAGTACCTGGTCCAGAAGATGTCATAGGAAGCAGGTACTGACACAGGACATTGTGAAGACCCTAATGGCAGGCCAGTTGAATTGCCTGCACAACATAATAGGGAGCAGGGAAGAAGATGAGAAAGCTAGGGATTTGCTTCCAGAAAAGCCCAGCTTAGTTTTGACAGGTCAGAGCGTTGCATCAATAACAACATACTTCTTCAATCATTTTGATGGAATATTAAACATTAGTAAAGTAAGGAGTAGGGGTTTTGCTGTATTCTTAAGGCCCGACCCATATTCGACCCCTGACATTCTGATTTTGTAGAATGATTGTGCCAGGACTTGGAAGAATTATTTCTGGCTGGAGAAAAAACAAAAACAAAAACAAAATAACCAAAAAACAGACTAACACTTTCCAGAGGCCACAGGCCGTGTGCAAACCAGAGTTTTTCCCATCCTGCCTGAATTCTAGGAATCTCAGTTGGTGACCCTATTATGGATTCAATAACGCCAGCTCCCAGCATTCCTTTAGTGCCCTCTGCACTTGGGACTAGAACCAAGGACGGCAGCTGGGCCACATTCACTGGGGACACCACAGGACTCAGTTATCTTTTGTCCCCAGGCTCTGTAATGAGTCGGCACAGTTGCTTTCAAGTCCAAGGAGTATTCTGTTTTGAAAAGTAAAGCCAAGGAGCATCCCTCCAGCGCTGCCAGGCAAGACTCCTGGCTATTCTGCCACCCTGTGGCTGGGCCCCGGAAATACACTCTGGGGGAGGGGCTAGGAATGTTTACCGTTCCCTTGGCAACTGCAGACTGGGCTAGCAGCTAGCACTAAGAGGGGCGATGGATAAGGATCCCAAACCTGAAAGTAAGTGGTCTGCCTCCATTTCTGTGTTTGTGTGGCTCAGCTGATGTCTGGCTGCTTGGGAAAGCTGGTTTCTCAGAAACGGTTTTGAAAGTAAAAGCCTTTTTGGTGCCTGAAGGTCAGCTCCTGGATCAGAAGGGTTTACTTGGATCCAGAGACTCAAAGCTGGACGGAAGCTTGAGGAAGCTGGCTACTTCCGTCCACCAACAGGCACAACGAGCAAAGAACGCATGCGCACCAGTGCTTCACTTCCGTCATTTTCCATTCAGTCCAGGGACCCGCCTAGGAAACAGGATGGGTCTTCCCACCTCTATTAACCCACCGAGAAAGCCTCTCAGGCCTTGGCAACAGGGCACCCTCCTCTGGAACAGTTCTATTGAGAGTTCCTCTGGGGATTCTTCATTGGTGTCTGGCTGATATGATAAAGTAACCAACACCGAGGTGTCGGTGTTATGTCGTAGGATGTGTGTGAAGGTGCATGGCGTGCGTGGGTGCCTGTTAGTGAGTAAGAAGGGGAAAAGGCAGAGGTGCTCACTGCACTAGCTCAGTGTTTTCTTTAAAGCTGAGTTTTGAGAAACTTTCGGTACCACACCACTGTCTCGGAGCATGACTAACCAGTCGGGAGGCAGGTAGACAGTCAGATGTCTTATTTTGAAAGCGTAGTGTAGTGTCCACCCATAATAAAAGACAGGAACAGCTCCCGAGCAATACATGTAACGTCCCAGCAGTCCAGCTCTTACGTGACGCCACCAATATCCGGGGCAGAGTTCACTCGTGGACAGTGGCTAGAGGTGGTGGCACCCAGCAACCCCCCTGTCCACATCCACTGGTGGGGAGGACAGTAAGTGGACGCCAGCTCCACCGCAGGTGTCCCTTGAGCATGGCAGAGGCTGATTGGCACGGCCTCAGCTGTGCTTAGCCAGGTTAGCCATTATTCGACACCCACGAGGTCAGAGCCAGGCCATTGGCAGGAGGTCTGGAGGGAGATGTGGTCACCTGAGGGTCTCTTGTCCTTAGACAGCGTCCACTGAGCCTCCTGGAGCCCACATTTTTATGACCCCTCCAGGCTGGTCCTGTGCATATACCCTTTGACCCCTGCTCCTGATCGGTGTGATCCTCCCGATCACAGGGCATTGCTGGTTAATTGTGTTTACTTCTGTTGTCAACACGTCCTGATGTGAGGATAGTGAGCAGAAAGACCTTTATTCTGTGTCTATCTGTAGAAAGATGAATTATTTTTTCTAAATTAATTAATGCAGGAAATTATTATGGCAGCAGTTTTCTTTAACCAGCTAATTTCCCAGTGACTGACACAGAGAGACTATGATTTATTATTTAACGTAAGCACTATGCTGGGCAGATTCTAAGCTAGTCTACTCCTAGTACCTCCGAAAGCCACATGAAAGCTAATTGCTTGCCAATCTGATGGCTCCTGGGCAGCTTCTGCTCCATCAGTCTGTCCTTAGAGGTGTGTGCTCACAGTCCATCTGGTCCCATGGCAACTCCTTTCTCTCTCCGGCTTCCACTCCTCCTCCTGCCTTTCCATCTGCTTTCCCTCTCGACCCCAAGCCCAGGCACCTCAACCTCTGCCTCCCTCTCTTCTACCCGGCCATAGGCTTCCACATCTTTATTTAGCCACCCAGGAACAATTGGGGAACATTTCCTATCATCATATGGTTACAGGTTCAACACTGATAACAATGCCTGTGGCAGGGCAGTAACCAGACCTCAGGGCACTGAAATAAGCGTTTGGAAACAAAGTCGGACCTTCCTACAACATCTGTATTTTGTTCTACACATTCACTGCTATAGCCCACTCACAGTCTTTCCTCCGTGTTCACCACGTCCCAAGTGCTTTCTCCTCTTACTCCACTGCTCTCCTGCGAACGGCGCTCATGAAAACAGAAGTAGAGTTAGGCTGGCTTGAGTAAAACAGTCTGAACTAACCTTCACATTAAAAGTTGATGTTTGTGCCCCCCACCTAAAGATGCATGTCTAAAGAAATATCATATTAAATGATTTTTTAAAATGTTGCAGGTGTTTAATTTAACACAGACTTTGCCAATCAACCTGAGGCTGTTCTCCTCATCAGCGGACTTACATAAAGCTGTCTTGTTTTTCCTTAAAGATGATTTGTTTCCAGACCATTTGTGAGGGCGAAGCCACATTTCCCTAGGATGAGCTTAAGCTTTCCTGTTTCTTGGGGTTGGGCAGACACTGTGAGAAGTACAGATGGCTAGTGTCTGACTATGCACGATTGGACCTGAGCATGCAGTAGGTAGCTGGAGAGCCTGGCCAAGGGGGTGGCATCTGGATTCGACAACTCTCTCTGCAAGTCAGTCAGATAAGACACATACTAAGCCAGCAGTTCTCGGCTTGTGGGTCGCAACCCCTGTGGTAATTGAACAACTCTTTCACAGGAGTTGCATAGAGGAGAGCCTGCGTATTATGTATTCACGTTATGACTCAGTAGCTAAGTTACAGTTATGAAGTAGCGACTAAATAATTTTATGGTTGGGGGGTTCACCACAACATGAGACACTGTATCAGGAAGGTTAAGAACCGCTGTGCTAATCAGAAAGAACTCATTGGTGGCTTTGAGTCTTTTCTGGACATGAACTAACAGGAGGATGGCTCTGAAGCACCGTGTGCCTTCCCACTCTCATTTTCTACAGTGTTTCACACACATCTTTCCTGTTTTCTGTGTCCTGGCTTTGGTTGAAATACAGGACTCTCCGTTCGGATAAAAGTCAGGTTAATATTTTATCAATTGATAAAAGGCATTTCTTTGAAGCACTAAGCTAATCAGTGGGGGAAGTCTTAAAAAATTCTATTCCCAGTAGTGTTTGTTTCAATATCCAGCCACAGCCTCTCACATGGGACTGAGTATGGCTCATTTTCACCTAGGGCTGTACTGGAGTGGCTGGGCTTGACCACATTCCTAAAGGGACAGGATTCTGAGATGGTCAGAGCTTACCTAGTGCCTGGTGTGACCCCAGGCATCTCTCCCAGGGCTGAAGGAATGAGGAGCTTTGGTGATGTCTATGTCCAAAGGACCCAAGACAACCACACATCGCGGAAGCCAACTGACTAGAAGCAAAGGATAGGAAGCCATTGATTACTCAGAGATACAGGACTCCAAGTCAGAAAATAGATGTTCTCCAAAGGGGAGAGCTACCTGGCCAGCCATGGGTGTGTGTGTGGGGGGGAACAGCCATGTGTGTGTGTGTGTGTGTACAGCTGCAGGAAGTGGATTCTGACAAGGAGAACAATTCTGGAAGAGAGATTCCCTGGGGCTTCCAACCTTGGGTTTTGGTCCTGTGGTCCTAGAGCAGAGTAGTTGTGGCTTAGAGTTCTGTGGGCCTGGGTGGCACACAGAACTGGCTGTAGTTATGAAACAGCAGGAAGTTCCTGCTAGCCTTCTGTTCTTCCCAGGATGTGTCCTGACTCTTCCAAAGACATTTTAGACCAGAACTGGCCACATGTGTGGCACTGAGCCTAGAATAGGTCCTCAAAGTTCTCATTCATTCTGCTTCCCTTTGCTTGGGTTGTCATACAATTAGGAGAATAGCCAGGCACCTGGTGAAGGGCAACCCTTAGCAACCAGCTCTTCCACTTGAAGGCTACTCTTGGAAGGCCCTCATAAACATCCCAGCATTTCCTCTCCTCTTGATGGCCATGCATGCAGCTACTTATAGATGGGTTTATCCTGAGGACTTCCAGCTATGACAAGGATGGCTGTAGACACATCCTGCCTGCTTAGACCTGCTGAGATCCTCAAGTCTCAGGTGGGCCTGACCTTACCACCTGGAACCTGAATCTCCATGGCTCTGGGGACGAGAGAGGCCCCAACAAATTCTCATGGATCCAAAATGATATGGTGTAAATGTTTCCTCCCAGATTATCCCTGATTGTCTAAATAAAGTTGCCTACAGCCTGGATTGGGCAGAAGAGAGGTAGGTGGAGCCAAGGCTTGGGGGCTTGGGACAGCAGAGAGACCATGAGGATGAGAGAGGAAGAAGGAGCAGGTCACCATGGGTTAGCATGAACTAAAAGCACATGGCCAGGAGGAGCTTGCTCTGAGGAGTGGAATGATGGTGAGAAGCAGCCCAAATGGAAAAAAAACGTGCAAATATTTATGGGGGTTTTTGGCTGGGAAGTAGACAAGATAGCCTTAGAGGGTTAACATCTGCCAAGCCCCAGTGCATTAAGGCTTATTAGAAATCAAGCAGGTTTCTGTATCTATTTATTTATATGATGGTGGGTTAAGGAATAACTGATGCCTTAATAATTATATGGATCAATATTAAATATTCATAACATTCAACAGAATGATGCTGCCTGTAGTGGCTTGATTTTTCCCATGTTGGTTAAGGTCAGAAAAACAACCACACACACATATATGCCCTTGAGGCTAACCCCATCTGGACCATCCCTTCCTAAGAATCCTGTCCCAGATGTCAAGCTGACAAATAAAACTCTCCAGAGCTTTAACCTTGAATGGCTTGAGTTTTATGACTATAAGAGCACTTAGGGTGAACCCGTGTGCTCTTTATCCTCTGCTACACTCAAGTGGCTACAGGAGTCTTAGACTAATAAAGATGGAGCTGTTTTTCCTATCCTCTCTGAAGACTCCTCTTTTTCTGACAGACATGCAACAGGGCCGCTTTCCCATAGGTGCAGGAGGGGGCTCACCATTCTGTTTTCTTTCCTGGGCAGATTACCTGGAGTGGAAGCACTGTGAGACCTATGGAGTTAAGACTCTCTGCAATCTGAAGGAGCTCCTGACCCAAATCCAAAAGGGCCATAAGGAAGATATCTATACCTACACCTCAGGTCACCTGAACCCTGACAAGCTCTACAAGCCGCCTGACAGCATTGTCCAGCACTGGTACAATGCAAACAGGCCAAAGGAGAAGCCTGCCACCTTCCCACCCACCCTCTCCGGAGGCAAAAAGGTAGCAAAGATGAAAGATGCTTTGGTTTACTTTTCAGTCAACACAGCCCTTCATCCCGATGATGCCTACAGCTCGAAGCTGTTCAAGTATTTGAACCCACAAATGTTCCATTCCTACCCTTCTAATGATAATGTCACCTCAGAGGAGTTCCCACAGGAGGAGGAGGACAAAGAACTAAAAAAAAGACCTGTGTTTTCTCGGGAATCACACAGGAAGGAAGAGCTCGTGTTTCCTGAGATGAAAGTACTCAGATACCCAGAGGTGACATCTAGCCGCCAGTGCGCCAGGCCTGCCCCAGGTGGGGATGTGTATCGCTACATCACCTCCTACTTATCTGGCGTAACAAAAGCTGACAGATACAAGAAGTTCCTGAGTTTCCAAAGAGAAGTCCTAGCAAAGGAAGATCTCCTGAAGAGTGATTTCACAGGAAGCAAGGTGGCTGTGATCCATGAGAACAAACTGAAGGAGGTAAGGGGAACAGGGTTCATTGTGGTGCTGCCAGCATGGGTCTGATGCTCAGAGACCCTCGTGGGTCCTGATGGATCCTGAGGCACCCCAGTCACGTGCCCCGGCAGAATGAGACAAAATCGCCAGCATGATCAGTGAGAACTGAGGACTGGGGGAAGAAGGTAACACTTGGGCAGGGGTCAGCTGGAGGTGAATCCATGGTCAGCAGTGTTCAGTGATTGATGGGGACAGCCATGGAGATACTGTGACTGGGGTCGAGAAGACTGTCCACCTTACCTCTTACAGAAGATGGGAGGGGAGACCAGGCATGAGGGATGCTGCAGCTGCTGTTGGGTTAGGAATAATGGAACATGCTGGTGGGGGCTGTGATATGGGAGGGGACTGTGGGTTGAGAGGGAACCTTACTGGCTAGGGCAGCACATGGTGGGTAAGAATTCAGGGGAGAGGAGAAAAGTGCCATCTATATGTCAGGGAGCCAAAGTCCACCCTGTGGTCTTAAGGGTGTGTGTTGGGGCAGGAGTGCAGAGGATGAACCTCTGAGTGCAGAAAGCAGAGGTGGATAGAGAAAACGAGACAGAAGCAGACACACACAGTGACACAGGAACACGGCTCTTAGCAACTATGGAAGGGAATCAGAGGCTCGATGATTTGCTCTGCACAGCCCAACTGGGTGGCCTTTCCCAACTGATTCCTCAGAAGGACACACTGTACGGAGAGGAACATGGAGACCCTTCCATTTTCAGGGACTGACTCTGTGTCTTTCTTCCAGGAGCTCCAGAAGGTATGTACCTGCAACCCTCAGCAGTTCAACAGGTTGCAGGTCTTTGGAGAAATCTTCGAGGAAGTCTGCAGAAGTTCTCTGGTCTTTGGGGATCTCCTGAAAGAGATTAAGGTAGTAACAGACATTCTCTGCGTAACAGTTGAGAACTATGCAGGAGGAGGAGCAACTGTGAGAAGGCTCATGCCTCACAGAAATTACACAGTGCCCATTCCACAGAGAATGGGCATCAGTCAAAGATTCATGGGCTCTCTCGCTCTCTTCTCAGTCACATGAGCAAGCACCAAGTTAATTTGCTGCCTAGCCGCTGCGATTTCACACCAAAGTGTCCCGATTATGAGTTCAGAACAACACGGCGTATAAACTAGTTTTTAGAACTAGGGACTTATAAGTTTATAGTGAGTTTTTATGGGTTTTTGAGTTTGTTGTGATTTGGGGATGTTGCATGGAGTTTATTTTGAAAAATTAAGTTGCTTAAAGCCCTCTATTAGTTAATTTTCTGATGCTGTGATAAAATACCCAAATTAAGAGCAAGATAGAGAAGAAAGTGTATGTTTTAGCTCATGGTTGCAAAGGGGTAAAGTCCATCATGGTGGGAGCCATAGCAACAGTCAGGGAAAACATGGTGGCAGAAGCAGGAAGCTGGCTGATCCATGCACAGAAAGATGAAAAATAACAGGAAGTAGGGTCAGGTTATATACTTAAAGCCCACCTTCTATGGCTCACTTCCTACTGCAAGGCTTTACCAACTAAAGGCTCCATAACCTTCCCCCAAGTACCGCCCACTCGGGACCAACTGTTCAAATAACTGAGCCTGGGGAGGTTGATTCTCCTCTAAACCACAATAAAGGCTGCGTTGTGCTCCAATTTCCCTAACAAGGGTGGGTAGTGTTGGCAGTTTGCTGCCTGTTTTCCAGGACCCTCACCTTCAGCAGGTCCCAGAACTGCACACGGCAGGGGATAAGGTGTTAGATGTATGTCAAGATTTCTGACAGGAACTTGAACTGATTGGTAGCTGGCAGCGAAGATCGAATTCAATGACAATTCAGTTTTATGAATTTGCGTGCGTGTGTGTATGTGTGTGTGTGTGTGTCAGAGCACATTGTGAAAAGAGTTTACACATGGGGTTAGGGTCAGGGTCTGAAGTGATTCTAACTGATATTCTTAATGCCTGGCACAAGGCAGAGACATTGGAGGGCCGCAGACTTGCTGGCCAGCAAATCTAGCCAATCTGTGAGCAGACAGGGTGGACAGTGATGAAGGCAGATGCCAACCTCTGTCCCCTGTGTGCACACATGGATGCTTGTGCGTATGTTTTTACAAATTCATGCACCCACTCCCATATGCAATCCTGCTGACATTGGTGTTTTTTGTTTGTTTGTGTCTGTGTGTGTGTGTTTGTGTGTGTGTGTGTGTGTGCACAGGACGAATACGAACTCTACATGGCAGCTCTTCTGGACTCTCAGCCCACGGCACAGTATGAGGTAATAACCATCAAGAAGGACACAGAGAGAGCCTACATGTTCCTGGCTTAGTATTTCAGGAAGACACTCTCGACTCAGGAAGCCCCATTAATTACTCTGTTGTGCAAAATGGTTGATGTTTTTTTTTTTTTTTTTTTTTTTTTTTTTTTTTTTTTTTTT